TGTAGTTTGTGTTGGAAAGGTGGTCAATAGAATGTTAACCTTGTAAACAATATTTAAATTGAATAAACATTAAATTTTTAACTAAGTTAAAACTACCCTATCTTCTCTGTCATATGGTTCAGGAAGTATTTTTGTTGTAATTATACATACACCGGACTTGTACTTGTACTGAGGGAGAGAAGGGAGAGGGAGAGTGTATAATTATATTGTATGAGCAACATGACTGACTTAGATAATTGCATTTGCCTTTATTTTCCATGCTATATTAGTGCATATTATATTTTATAACAGATTCAAGAAGTAATTTAAAATATAGTTCTCTGGTCCATAATGTCATACTAAAAAGTATGTAATGTAATTAAGAATTTTAAAAAAAAACCTTTAATGTATCATTGAAAAATAGCAGCAGTTATCTTGATACTAAATAATTGATGGATAGATAATAATAATAGCATTACAATGAGGCATTACAATGTTCTAGACAGTACTTGTGTTTTATATGTAATTATTTTAATTTATTTTACAAGATAAATCTATGATAGGTACTAGTAACATATAAATTTTAATTTCACATAATTACTTGTCATGTTTTGATATTCAAGGAAAGTCTAAAAAATTTTTTACAATTTTTATAGTACATTTTCACAGTACATATGATGACATTTATTGTGAGGACTTGGTACATGTACCTATCACATTGTTATTCTTTTAATATCTCCTTCCCTTTTCTGCCCCCACCCTCCAAATCTGGCTCCATTTCTTGATTTCCTTTCCATTTGCATCAGATCTGTCTCCCAGGTTCCTATTATCTTTTGTTTTTCTCTTTATATTATTTATACTTTGGTTTCTCATATAAAAGAAACTATGTGATATTTAAGCTTATATGTGATTTATCTTACTCAACATTACTATTTCCAAGTGCATCTAACATTTTATACCCATTCTACAAGCATAATATGAATTTAAATGTGGAATAGATCGAGCGAAATTCAAACATTTTGCTACCATCCTGGCTTAAGGAAATATCACTTCAGTTGTACAATTATTGTTGAACCTTCTTGGAGTCAAGGGAATTTAGATGAAGCATAGATTTAATAGTAGGTGGTAATGTGCAGTGTTTAAGAGAGTGATGCCATTAAACAATAGACTGCATATTTTCTTCAAGAGTCCTACTCATCACTCAAAGAATAGAAACTCAAATTTTGCTGAGGTCTTGCTGGTTGACAATAACGCCTCCTTTCATCTGTGCACACATCTCTACTTAATCTATCTTTCATGATGTCTTTGTCTTCTAATTTTTATTTTTATCCATACCCATTTGCAGTGCATAATGATTACATTCATTTTTGAGTGTTGTTGCATGTACATAACACATCTTTATTCATTTTACATCCCCTACACACCTCCCCTCCATCTCTGAGTTACCTTCCTATTTATAAAAGATTTGTCACCCAGGACCATTTGCAGAATTTCAGAAGAACTCAAAATCAACTTTGAATATATTATTTTATATTATACACTTTAGCCATTTAACACATGGTATAAAACATTTAGCCCTTGCATACTTCATAAGTGAATTTAAAACAAATTTGCCTGTTTCCTTTAATCCATCTTTTATTTTGCATTTTAATTGATTTATACTTTGGTTTCTCATAAAAGAAAAACTATGTAATATTTAAGTTTTGTATCTGGTTTATTACACTTAAAGTTATGGTCAGAAGTTCATTCTTTTTTCTACAAATGACTCAAATCTATCCTTCTTTGTGGAAAAGAAATATCATTGTGTATAAATGCTAGGTTTTCTTTTTCAACTCCTCCATTGATGAACATCTATGCCACTTTCAAGATTTATCTGGTCTTTAGAGAAATGCAAATTAAAACCACAGTGAGCTCTGTGATAAAAACAGCATGGTGCTGGTAAACAACAGACCTCAGGATCAGTGGAATAGATTAGAAGATGCAGAAACAACTGAAGACTTACTGATCACCTCATCTTTGACAATGGAGCCAACCATCCTCACTGGTGGAAAGATAGCCTCTTTAATAAATGGTGTTAGAAAAACTGGATTTCAACCTGGCAAAGATTAATATTAGACCTATATCTATCACCATGCACTAAACTAAAATCAAAGTGGATTGAAGATCTAAATAATAAAACAGAATCACTAAACTTGCTGGGAGATAAGTTAGGTAGAACTCCTGAAGACACCAGCATAGGAAATGACTTTATGAACAAAACCTCAGTATCACGGAAATTAGCACAAAGAATCAACAGCTGGGATCTCATTAAAAAGCTTCTGCACTGCAAGAGAAACTGCCAACAGAGCTAAGAAGTAACCTACAATGTGGGAAAAAAATTTATCAGCTCTTGCTCAGACAAATGACTACTATCTCTAATATATAAAGAACATAAAAAAACAGACCCCCCAAATTTAAAGACCCAATTATAAAATGGGCATCTGAAATGAACAGACATTTCTCAGAGAAAGAATAAAAGTATTAATAAACCTATGAAAAAATGTTTAACATCACTGGTCATTCAAGAGATGCAGATGAAAACAACACTGAGATTTCACCTCACTTCACAAATAACGGCTGCTATCAAGAAATCAACCAATAACAAATGTTGACAGGGTTGTGGGGAGAAAGGAACCCTTCTCCATTGTTGGTGGGAGTGCAGACTGGTGCAACCACTGTGGAAATAAATATGGAGATACCTCACAATCTAGGATTAGGGGTCCTGGTTGACTGATCTGTTCCTCTACTGGGTATTTCCCCCCAAAATTAAGTCATACCCCAGCGATATATGCACACCCATGTTTATAACGTCATGATTTGTAATATCTAAAGCTTGGAAACAGCCCAATTGCCCATTAACTGGAGATTGGATAAAGAAAATGTGTTTTTAAAAATAAAATTAAGTACTACTCAGCCATAAAGAATGAAAAAGTAGAGCCATTTATAGCTAAATGGATGCACAT